CAAGGGACACCTTCCTGGGTTCAGAAGTTCTCATTTTTTCAGCTATTTGTGTGGCTACTGCCTAGCTATTCGCTGTTTAGAGCCTCCTGAGGTCAGCACCTAAATTCCTCCTTGTCGAATTTGAACACCTAGAAACATGAAGAAATAGGTTTAACTTTTTCCAATTTCTTTCTTTGAGGCACAGCTTTTCAAACGTTTTGAAACCAGGGATATCCTTCTCCCCAAATGAAATGTGTTGTAGATGGGTCATATGGAAAATTGCTAATATGAGACCGCTCTGGCTGCCATGGGTTGACTTGGTTTGTTCACCTCTCTTGCCCTGACCTGCCTCCTTCCTCCCACCTCGTTGAGGACAGTAGGCGGGACCCCAGTTGTAAGGTCGGCAAATCCCTGCTGTAGGGCATGGCTTCTCAGAGGGAGGTCAGCACCAGGATTTCTAGGCCTCTACCCCCAGCCACCTGAATTAATAAGCATGGAATGAGCATCCACAGATGGTTCTTCTGCACACTGGAGTGAATCACTGTTCTAGAAACTCTGAATAGTCATTTCTAGTAAAGAAAAATAATCACAAAGGGCGCACTGTCCACAGTCATTTCAAATAATCCCTATGAAGCTACTGCATTCATTCAAACACTGAAATTGCCAAGATATTTGAAGAGATGAAGTCAAATAATTTTAAATAAAACACTGGTTCTAAAAGTTCAATACACGGAAATTATGATGAATGGCCTACCAGATCTACAATTTTAAGTAATTTAGTAAACATTTATCATCACTCTTCTGGGATATTTGGGGGGGAACTATAATAAACTGGACAGCTATCCTGTCCTCAGTGAGAAGAAGTATATGCAGAGGAACTGAAATACATAATTGAAAGTAGTGGAAGATATAAGGAGATGATTCTTCCCAGGTTGGAAGATGAAGGGAAGACTGAGTTAAGTCTTCAAGTTGACCTAGGGTAATTCATTTCTCCTTCCCCTATCCTTTCCATATTCTACATAATTAGTGCATCCTCTCACACAGCAAGCAGGGTTCCAGGAGAGCTCAATCTTGGCCTGGGGGGTGGGAAACGGCAGAAGCACATAAGGATGCCACCCCGCCAGCCACCTGGTACATCAGCAAGTGGTACCATGGCCAGTGCCCAGCCCTGCAAAATACACATAGCAAACAGTCAGTGAGTTAATGAGAAGTGATGATCAGAGAGAGGTCAGATGTAACTCACCGAGATCATGTGAGAACCAAAGTCTCCCCATGGGGCGTATAGAAATCTGAGGGCACCAGCTATGGTGATGGTGTCATTTATAGGAGTTTATGTAAACTCTTGTTTGGATTGAAAGAATTATACGTTTCCATTAAAAATATGAAATTAATATTAAACATTAGGATTTTGTAAGAGCCTACTAGTATCTCTTTCAATTTCTAGAGTGAAAGAACATTTCTTAACTAAAATTTTTATGGTTTAGAGAGACAATCAACTGAAGGTGACAATAATTCCAAAATTATTCATCATAAAATAAAACTGAAGATGACTAACGGCAATTTTATAATAAAATAAAACAGTACAATTTGTCTTTAGTCCTCAGGTAAATACCACTGACAAAGATGGCAGAATCAGATACATCAAAAAACTGAATAAAATGTATGGATAAATACAAAGGATAATTATTCTGCTAATATTATTAATGTCCAGATGATAAATATAAAAGCTTGCTTTTGCTCTAAACACATGAATTTTTTAACTTTTTTAAAAAGATTTTATTTATTTGACAGAGAGAGATCACAAGTAGAAGAGAGGCAGGCAGAGAGAGAGGGGGGAAGCAGGCTCCCCGCTGAGCAGAGTCCAATGTGGGACTTGATCCCAGGACCCTGAGAGCATGACCTGAGCCGAAGGCAGTGGCTTAACCCACTGAGCCACCCAGGTGCTCCGAATTTTTTAACTGTTGAAAAAAATTTAAATCCTCTTGAACTAGCTTGTCATTACAAAAAAAAAACAATAAATCCAATTTGTTGATCCATAAGTAAATATTTTGATGGTATATAAATATATAATTTAGTTATATTTAATGTAAATTTTAACTCTCAAATATATCCTGTTTAGGCAAAAGATGTTATATGGTTATCCTACCATAAAGAATATATATAATTGTTTTGAACTTTATGTTTTGAAATTTTGCATAAACTGTATCTTACTGAACATTCCTTTGCAATTTATAACCCATTATAAGAATAAAACACTGATTACTTAACCATTCTACTATTTAGAAACAGCTATGTCATTTCTATCTTCTCATAAATTTCAATGATTCTTACTGGTCATCCATTTAAATGTTTCCTCATGCACTCTGAGTCCCAGAATGTGAATATCTGGAATTTCATTGATTATTATGAAGCTGTGAATTAATTATTATGAAGCTCTCTTTGGTGACTGAATCAAAAGACATTCCCACCATCATGTATGAAAGCACTTTCCACCCTAGATCCTAACCAATGCTTGGAATTGTCAGACTTTTAAATATTGGCCCATCAAGTAGGCTGCAGTGATACAACTTTGTATCTAAAACTAATTTCTCTAATCAGTAATGACACCTTCAACATAATTCCAAGTTAACCAATCGTTGTCTTCTCCTAAATGTCATTTTATCTACTATTTTGGTTCCTCTTATTTTGTACCCATCAAACTAATCGGTATTATTTTTTATACCAATGTTCATTTAGACAAATCCACATTTACCCTTGGGTTTTCTAGCATCATCTCTCACAACCCATTTTGTCACCCTGGGCTCAAACCCACTCCTCCCCATTGTGAGAACTTGATCAGTTCTTTCAGACTGGGTACAAATACTCTCAGTGTTTGTCTGAAAGTGTCTTTATTTCCCTCTCACTCTTGAGCAGTATTTTTGTTAGGAATGTTGGGTTTAGAACTCTGAGTTAACAGGTATATCCCTCAGTCATTTGGTATTACTCCAATACTGTTTTCCTTCTATTATTCCTGCCAGGATCCATTCAAATTATTGTTCCATTATAAGTAATCTCTTTTCCTCATTTGAGTTTAAATTCTCCTTATTTTCCTTGATCTTTTACTTTCTTTATAAAGTGAATTTATTTTTATTTATCCTGGTTAAAACCAATTGTGTGTTGTTTTGTTTTGTTTTATCTTGCTTGGGACCATGTACTCTCAAATCAGAGGAATTAACAGTCCTGAAAAATTCTCCGTATTCTCCTGGAAAATGGTCTCTCTCCTAGTCTGTATTCTCCTATAATGAAACTCCTATCAGAAATATTTTTGGCCATCTCTTCCAAACTCCTAGTCTCTTAAAAGCTTTGTTTTACATTTTAACCCATACCACATTTTGGGCAATTTCCCCATATCTATCTTCCAGTTCACAAATTCTCACTTTGGCATTGTCAAACTTGCTGTTTTAACCCATCCATTTTTTAAAAAAATTTTTTTAATTCCTATAGCTAACATTATGTTCTATTTAATAGCTCTTCTTCTATTATACTTGTTTTCTGTTTTAGTTTTCAAATTTTTTATGCTTTAATTAACATAAAATGTATTTGTTTTGTCTTTTGTTTCAAATTGTAATTTTATTTTCTTAAGTCTCAGGGGAACCTAATCTTCCAGTTTATGGTATATACTTACTTCTACTCATGACAGAATATCCTTTTATTTGAACTGTAATGTTTGACCATGTGTGCCCCTTGACTAGGGCATGGTTCCCCCTGGAGGCATAGAGCCCATGCTTCCTGAATGTTCTCTAGGAATGCTTTTATGTACGCTCTGCTTGAAATATCAGATGCACCATAAATCTGAGTCCAATATTTGTATTAACTTCCCATTCTGGATCACATAGGTACTGTTTAGATGGATCTCATTTTTCCCCACATACTGCATTTTTTTCCCTATTTCTCACATTTTTTTTTTCATTTCCTAAGTGCTCAGTGTATGCAAAGGTTAGAATTCCTCCCCTCCACAACCTCGTCAAGACTGCCAGAGTATCAGGTCACGCACTTAAACTCCAAGTTTATCCATTCTTCTATTTAAAAACAGCTGTGTTATTTCTACATTTCCACTTGTCCTCAGAAATTGTTTCTTTTGTAATCTCATCTATGATTTTTTTAAACTTTATTAAATTTTACTTAGTGAAATTAGCAAGGGATATTTCATATAATTTTGGCCTCCATCTTGCTGGTTCCCAAATTCTTGGACTCTGTGAAAGCCATCACAGCCCAGAACAGCCTATATCCTCACTTATTGTATGTAGGAGAGAAATACATTTATGCCTTATAAAGTCATTGCTGTTATTTTGTGTTTTCTACTACACACAGTCAAAAAAAAAAATCCTGTTATACCTTTGACTATTTAGATTGGAGGGTAAAAGACTAGAGGAGACACTCTAATATTGGCAAAATAACAAAGGGATTGCCTTCCTTGCTAAATAAAGGCAGTTTTGAAAAGCACTGTAACATGGAGAGAAGGAAGAACCCTTCACACCGAGGGTGTTATCTGACATTGCAACACGTTGCCTTAGCACCTGCAAATGACTAAAATTCCCTCTAAAGTTCTCTTTCTGCTTTTTCAAATTTCCCTATATCATCAGAAGCATAATAAACCAAAATGCATTTTAAGAAAATAAGAAATAGAAAAGAAAGGCAAAAGTGGAGAGACATACATGCACCTTAATGACCTATTCTGACCCCAGCTCAATGTGTCACATCCCCAGCACTCCTACTTCCTCAAAATAACTAAATAAATAAAATAAAACACTATTACCCTGGCCTGACATCCAAATTCATTCTTAACCTGAAAGCCCTGTTCCATGGCACTTACTAAATGTATTGACCTCAAATTTTATAGTCCAGTGCCATCCTTCTAATGATGCCTGCTTCTCGGCATCTAGAACTTACGGAGACATGAGTACATCCACACTAAGGCCCTTCCCTGCGGAGGCCTGACGCACACAGCGCTCTCCTGGTGTAGACAGGGTCTGCACAATTACCTGGCCTTCCGACTGGCAGGGTCCTGGCATCGTCACTGTTCAGGATCACGGCCAGACCCCCCGAGTGGGACGGGAGGACGGAGCTGCTGAGGTCCACGCGCGTCAAGCTCTCAGGCTCTCTCTCCGAGCCCACCGTGGCGTTTTGTGGGCCTTCCTGTCCAGTGGCCGCCCCTCCTTGGTCTTCCCTCCAGGGTCTCAGCACCACGTGGACGATACTCTGCTGATCCAGGTCACAGCTCTAGGTGGGAGCAAGGCAGAAGCAGACGAGAGAGTGCAAGCGTTAAAAGGCCAGGTAAGGTTTATCCTGTCCTCAGGCCCAAAGCACACCCAAGAGCCTCAAATCTGTTTAGACCCAAGGTCGCACACAGTCATGCAACCTGAGGAAAGAGCCACGTGTGGCGGATGGAGTTGGACTCCCTGGCCCATCAGCATGTGTGCGTCTATGCGGGCTCCATATTCCTGGGGCCACAAACCAAAACGTGGGCATAAATGGACCCTGGCGACAGAAAACTAGAGTAACAGTCAAAGCAGCGCGAGATCGAGCGGGTCAGAACTGTACACAGGGCATATATAAGCGCGGTAACAAGCAGTATTCTTTTAAAATTGATTCACTGCAGAAGGGATGTGTCGTCCCAATCATCAAATATAAATGCCAGCCTCCACCTCCATTTTAAAAAGCACAGAGAGTTGGTTATGGGCAATGACAGAGCACTTTTCTCCACAGTTTAAAATAAATGTGTTGATGGTGGACGCCACATGCGCCCCTATGTCACCGGCAAACATATCCCCACGACGACGGGGAAGGAAGCGAGTGGCACACCCAGGCCGGCTCATCCAATGGCACAATTACAATCAGCGAACATTGGCAAAAATGCTGTGTGCCGATGTACAGATGTGTATGAACAGCAGACTGCAAACCTGACTAGAATTAAAGGTCAAAGCCAGATGATTTGCTAGGACTAAAACTAGACTAGACCAAAGCTCAGCCTCAGAGTATCTGCTGGATAGAAAATCACCCGTCTGTCTGTCTGTCTCGGCCCTCCTCCCTCATAGACATGACCTCGTTCTCCCACTAAATCCCCGAATTTCAATTTCTACAAACCACCTGTAGCCACGCTCTCATCACAGCCATGTCCAAACAATGCCCCACACGCCCAGCGATGCTAATGACAGTCCTGACTGGCCCCCACCCTCCCTGCAGTGCTCGGCCGCTGTCCCCAGCAAACACTGCATCAGCACTTCCTGTGGACACACCACTGCGGACTCAGAAGGTCTCAGGATGCCCCCGGGCCCCGATCCCATTTCTGTGTGTCCCGTGCCCCAGACCTCTGTCACGTGGACATGCTTGCTGTCCCTGCCACCTGTCCTCACAGCGCTGGGTGTATCAGGACGGCTCTGACTCAGCAGTGGTTGCTGGGTTGTCAATCTCCGTCCGTTAGCCTGTCCCCACCTGTGTTCCCATTTCTGTCAAATCACTGCCCCACCCCCAGGGTATCCAGGGGTCAAGTCCTCCCTACAACTCTGATTACCCTTCTATGTCTTCTGAAGGCTTCAGTGGGCCCCACCCGCCCTAACCTTACACCCAGCAAGGTGCAAAGAGTAACTAATTCTGACTCAGAAATAGCCTCCCCATCTTCCGCTCCCTTATTCTCAATTGCCATCTCCCCGTTTTAAGGCTTCATCATTATAACAGTTTTGCAATTGCTCCCTGACCTCCCATCTCTCCCTGTAACCCAGCATGTACACGTTCCCGGAGTGTGCGTCATAATCTTTTCAAATATCTCGCTATTACCTATTACACAGAATCTGACATCTTACTATCATCTTCAGGCGTGCTTAGACTTCTCTCCTTTCTAGATCACCTATCTTCTGATTTTTATCACCTTTCCTCTCCTGCGTCATATACATGATAGATGAGGTTTTTCATCCAAGCTGTTCACTCCCATCTCTCCTCCCCCTGTCCTTGATTGGGCTCAGTCCTGGGATTGGCTTTGGCCACTATGGTGGAACCAGGGCCTTTAAACGTATCTGTGCCACTGCTGTGGTCAGCGAGAGCACCCCCGAGTAGTTTCCGCCTCCTCCAGCCTGGGCCCCCCATGTGCACGTGGCCCAGTCCTGCGCTCAGCCGCAGAGGGGACCAAGGGCAGCGGCACCCACGGCGTGAGCAGAGCCTTCCAGCTGGAGGGGCTGGCACCGCAGACCCCCGGCTGACCCGGAGGGGACCGTCACCAACGTACGGCGCTGAGATTCTGGGGCTGTTCATTAGGCAGTGGCAGCTGACAGTATCTATCTTCCACTCTAACTGGACTAACAGACATTCTATCACTACCTACCATGGCCTCAGCACTCAGCCGGACTCCAGAATTATACAGAGCCTTGAGCCTGAGTCATTTCAAATAAAGCAGCACCAAGATCTGAGTCCGCCTGAGCGGGATGGCGGGGCAGGAGCTCATGCAACAAGGGGAGGGAGCTGAGAGCGCGTCTCCTACCGTCCCCTGAGGTTTTTACCCATAAGTGTATTCTTTGCAAGGAGGTTCAAGAATTCAGTCAGAGAAAATTCCGCTCTCGACGTTCAGGACTTCCGGGCTTCAGGCAAAAGTAATGCCTGCCTTCCTCATCTGAACGCCAGCGACCTTTGCCGGCCACGCTCTTCTCGCAGGGGTCGGACCGTGGGCAGAACTTGTGTGTTTGTCTGTGTGTGTGTATGTGTGTGTGTGTGTGTGTGTGTGCGCGCGCTTTGAAGCTAGTAGGTAGAGAACATATGTCCGCGAAAGGGAAAATCAAGGGGAAATCGAAGGACGGGGGCAGAAACAAGAATGAATGAAGGAAGACATCCAAATAGTCATAAACTCGATACCTAAAGTGCTCCATGGGGAGCCAGAAGGCTGTGGAAGAGCATGGGATTTAAGGCCAGACAGATGTAATCTATTAGCTACATGATTTTTGGCAAATGACTTTCCCTCCTTAAACTCTAGTTTCTACATCTGTCATTGGCAATAACAACACCAACTCTGACGACGACTCTGAAGATTTAAGGAAACAGAAGGAGTGCAGAGCCCCGTCCAACAGCAGTGCCTCCGTACGCAGTAGTTAGTGTCTTAGTTTCTGTCTACTTGGACAGTTAGGATCACCATTCGGGAGTTTTGAAAACAACAGGTTTGGCCCCTGATCTTGTACACTGATAAGACCTCTGAATCTCACACAGTCCTGCTTGGAGAATGGACACAGAAGGGAATAAGCAGGCGCTAGACATGTGATAATCGCTCCGACAACATTCCAACTTCCTGTGAACTGGAAATTGATTAAAAAAAAAAAAAAATCCCTGTCTGCTCAGATGCCATGAAACACATGAAGAACCTCAGCAAATTCCCGGAGCATGCTAAAATTTGACAAACATGGAAGAAATCCCAAAACAGAGATTTTCCTTTCAAATCAAGATTTTTATTTTTGGATGCCCAAGGTGGAACTGGAAAGAGGAACAGGAAGGTCGCAAGCTACATACGGAACACACTCCTCTCAGCCTGCATCCATGGTTCTGAGACCATTAACTGATCAACTCTTTGACTTCGCATAAAAAACAGCACTGATCTCGGAAGCAGTCCCTTTGCCAGATGGCACAAATGCACCATCACAACAGTTCAGTTCAAAGCCCCATAAGTAACACATTCCAGGCATGATGACCTGGATAAAGTTCAGTTGTCCAGCCTCTTTGAAGCCCAAAATAATATTTAATTCTCATAGGATACAAAAAAATTCCTCAGCTTTGGGAAGTAGAGATTTTCAGTGGGAAAACAACAGAGTTCTCCAGCATGGTTTTAAACTTTCTCATGTGTCTCTGTTTCCTCAATAAACAGAATATTGCCTGGCAAAGAGGAAACACGTTACACTTGTGTTTTAACTTATTAATTCAACAAGTGACGCCGTGATGTGAGTTGTGTAGTGTGGACAAAACAAATAGTTATTAGTCCAACCAGACTTGCTCTCATGCCATCCAGTGGAGCCAATCCCCCATCAGGGACTGAAAAATCTGTATCTTGGACACTTTCTCCACGGTACCTTTGATTTGGGGATTCCCCAGTATTAATATCTATGGGAGTTGACTGCCAACCAGTAACCAACTCTCGCCTAACTGGCCATCATTCCACAACATACAAGACACTGGTGTATTTTTTCCTTTTACAAAAAGGAGTTCCTCTGCTGACACACAGTTAGGATTCAAATATTTCAGAGTCTGACAATCCAATCAGAACACTGGAAGTAGGGATGCCTGGGTGGCTCCGTTGGTTAAGTGTCTGCCTTAGCTCCACGTCATGATTCCGGGTCCTGGGATAGAACTGGGATAGTCCTGGGCTCAGTGGAGAGTCTGTTTTTCTCTCTGCCCCTCCACACTGCTCATGCTCTTTCTCTCTCTCAAATAAACAAAATCTTTAAAAAAAAAAAAAAAAGGAAACAAGAAAGAAAGAAAAAAAGAAAAAGAAAGAAAGAACACCAGAAATGCTTTTGAAAAACCTGCTAATGCTTTTCAAAGTCTTAACCTTTAGAGCTTATAAAAACATGTAATGTTACTGTAACAAGAAAATTCCTGGGGACTGCAAAGTTATTGGAATATTTTCCAAACACTTAAAGAAGGGCTAGACAGACAATCTCTAAAATGTTAATAATGAGATTCAAAAAGTCAATAATGACACATTATTAACAAAGTGCTTTCATCTACTATAGAAATAACAATCATATTAATAAAATGAAATCAGCACACACTGTTTTAGAGCTCTAGTTAGGCTCCAGGCTGCGTTACAAGGTTTCTGATGCACTCAGCCGTCTCACATTGCCAGACTCCTCTGAGGGAGGGGCTCTTGTCATCCCCAGGGGTGGCTCTGGCTGGCAAAAACCCAGCCCTTGATTTCACTGGCTGTTCACTTACATCACACCCGGCAGAAGACAAAGGCGAGCCACAGAGAGGTTCACGGCAGGTTCGACATCCCCCAGCTCCTAAGTGTGAAGCCAAGATAGGCGCCCAGGTGGAGGGCTCCCCATGACCCTTCTGTGACGTCCCAAGCTCCACAGCGTGGCTGCTGAGAGGTGGGGAGCAGAGGCGGCAGACAGAGGAGGATGAGGGCAGGGGCCAGGCGGGGAGAGCAGGGTTTGGAAGCTGCATGCACACTCCCCAGGTGCAAAAGAACGAAGAGGAGGAAAGCCAGGTACCCGGAATGGGGAAAGCCGCGGAGGGCGGCCCCCCCA